CACAAGCCCCCCCATGTCACACTTGCCAGCGTGATATCGTGCAAACAGACTCCCCCTCCCTCCCTTCACCCACACACAGCTTTTCTCGCTGAACACCAACACCCACCACGAGCGGAGAGCAGGACTCTGCCAATTTTGAAATATCTTCTCCCTCCTTTCCCCTTCCTGGCATCTCCCATCTTTGGGGAGTTGAAGGGAGAGGACCTCTAACTGTAAAGCACCGCCTGGTCACCAATAAGGAAACTGGGAAAACCACCCCCTAAAGCTTTAAAGTCTTTTCAGTTCTTGGTGTTGCTGCTCCCGAGGCCAGATCCTTCCATGAGAAGGGCAGCTTCATCTCGTCATCCCAACCAGGTTCAAACAGACGCCAGAAGTCTGGTGTTACTCTGCAACATCTCACTCCTCACATGATCCCATGCAGAAGGGCAGAGCCAGAGTCTGCTGTCCCCAGCCATCCCCTCCTCTCTTGGTGCCTTTCCACAGCAGCACCAGCCCCACCCAAACATGCCTGCCCTAGAAACACTTGGAGATCTGCTGTGTCACCATCACCAAACGTGGTATGTTATTTAAACAATGCCAAAGGAAGCCTGGGCAGCTGACACAGGCTGCACAAAACACACGGCCAGTCTGCACAAAGCTTGTTCCTGACACAGCTGTTTCGTCCTTCCCGTACCCTGTGCCCTGTCCTGGGTGAGCAGGATGGGTTCTCTGTGGAGGGGACCATCACCTCGTGCTGGTACCCAGCCAGCCAGGATCCCAGCTGCATCAGAGGGAGGTTTCTGGGAGACCTTTTTTAGCAAAACTGCAGCGTCGGGTTCCTGCCAACAAAGCTTCCTGGCAAAAAACGAACCACACCATCTCCTGTCAGCTCAGCTCTGTTCTCTGGGGACATTCCTGAGATGGGTAAATCCAGGAACTGTGGCTGAGGGATGTCTCAGACACAAGCCCATCTCCCCAGTGAGGAGCCGAGTGCCAACGGCTTGCTGTGAGCCGACGTACAGGCACTGAGCATAGCCACCACGGCACCACGCTGCCAAGACAGCAAACGCAGGCGTGGCAGAACAAGGAGAAGGCTGTCACGTTACCGCGAAAATGCACTCGTTGGCTTGTGTCAGGCTAGCGAATTCATTTCAGCTCAAGGATGTGCTGGAGACAGAGAGAAAGGGAAGAGCAGACAACCATCAGGGACTCAGCCAGACACCGTACTGCAGCGGGAAGGAGCAAGACATAATTCTTCCAGCCCTATTGTCCCCTAAGGCTCTGACGCCAAAAAATAGGAGATGGGAAGATTTGCTGTTCCCCCTTGTTTGCTTGTTACGGATAGCACGCATGTACAGCGTCAGCCCGACTGCTGGAGGCTGGAGCTGTCTGTGGCAGAGCCAGCAAGGCTAACGGGGTAGAGAGCAGCTTTCCTCCCCTGCTCAGTCAAGGAATGAGGGGGGTGTTCAGCCTCCCTGCCCCTTATGCACAGAGGGACAAATTACTCAGTGTTTCCTGAGTTTGTGACATCTCTCACTAAAGAATGGGCTCGAGACCTTCCAAGTGATTTCTCCCAAGCCAAGTCTCTGCTGGCTGATCACAAGGTGTAGGGGTTTCCCGATGACAAGTCAGACTGCTGACCTGGGCACAAGAGCCTCCACAGATCTTCCTGCCACTAATCCCACCAAAGCCATCCCGGTCCCCCTCTTCCTTAGCTCTTAATTAGTTTTGTGAGCAGGTCGATAAGATATGTACTGGTGAATCTGGGTCAACAACAGATTTATGTTTATATAGCATCCTTCTCAATCATATCATAGAGCACAACTAGCTGTAATAGAATTTTCAGCACTTAAGAATAAATCAATAGCTGGTCAATTTAGAAGCAATAAAATGAAACACTTTTTCCATATAGCCTGTAGTTGCTCTGAGGAGATTCAGTGCCACAGAGGGATTATAGAGGAAAAAAAAACTACTGGAAAGGTATTGCATGGAACTGGGTAATTTTCTGATGTCCTGGTCCTGGACATCAGTGCATGTGAGTGAAATCTCATTTTCTTACAGCTGATCAGGGTCAAGGAGGAATCACTTTCCTACAATAACACAGCACAGGTGCAGAGCTTTTATTTTGTGTAGGATTTGGGAAGTTTTGACCACTGTGACAGGTTTCTGTCCCAACTGATGCCCTCTCTGTCCTAAAGGTTATACTGAGGGAAGCGCTCAAGAGACAAATCAACTGGAAGAGGAATGTGTGTGCCCAACATAGGATCTGCTGGCTTTTCTGCTTCGAGCGCTCCTGAAGTGGGATAGGGCACGAACAAGGGGCTGAAACAGAGGACAAACCCTCCAAAGTGAGAGGGCTGACTGTCAAGGAAGGAGAAGAACTTGGGCAGTGAAATGACCTCACAAAGTGGTGTCCCAAGTAGCCCTGAATAAACCCAACAGCATGCACACGGCCAGCTCTGCCCTGGCTGACCTGATCCAAAGCGCCAGTCCCTGGGGCTGATCAAAAACTTGCTGAAACCATTATAAAGACTCTAAAGAACAAAGCAGAGAAGGCTTTTTCTCTTCTCCTGTTTTTGATTTTGCCAGTTCTGCCCTGCTGAAGCAGAAGTAAAAATCCTCCTAAATAAGGCTCAAGCTGCAGAAGAAACAAATGGTTCCTATCTGAAGATGAAGTTAAAACACTTATCACTAAAGAAGAACAACCCTCTAGAAGCTCCCATTTAATGGAGACGCACTGCCAAGGTTAGCAGGCCAAAAAATTGATGGCTATTCCCTTCCTTTGTTTGCATAGATCACACACTGCCCTCTGAACCTTCCTTCTTGCCTCCCAAAAGCAACATTGCAGAACTGTAATTGCGTGTGTATATATACAGAGAGAGGTATGTATAAAAACTATGCCAATAGCCCAGAGCATTTGCAAACAACCACACAGAAGGCTCTTCAAGAAGAAACAGGTGGAGGTGGGATCTCAGCTGGCATCGAGAGCTATCTCTGGAGAAGGATGATCCAGGAGACAGACTGCTAGTTCAGGAGGGGTCTCCAGTCTGTACCATGGCCTGTCCCTGACCTGCAGCAAGTCTTTCAGACCTAGTGTCGTTCCACCATCTTCTAGAGATGCTCACTCACCTGCTGCAGCTGTGAGCAAAGCTGTAGCAGGAGCCCCAGAGCCCGGCCTGGAGCCCCAGGGGACAGATCTGGGCCCTCGTTCCTCCGCTTTGCAGGAGGACACGTCACTGCTGTGAGGGTAATGATGGGGTGGTTCAGGGGCTCCTCTCACACTGTGCCATGGTTTACCATAAATACACCTTACTGTGGGTTTGCCACCAGCTGAGAAACTGTTGCTGGGTCCTCACAGGTAATAACGAGGCAGGGTAGAAATCGTTGAGTGAGGAAGCATTGGCTTAAATAACATCAATCTTAATGTTAGCTTTGGCTAAGCCTATTGCACTAAGGATCTCAGACCATTTCACGAACTGCATTTAAGCTTCAGGATCCTTGGGGAGGGACTACCTTTAGCCGCGGAGGAGAATAAAGAGCAGGGCAGGAGGTACAGGCTGGCTGAGCACACACATACGCACACGTGTTGTCAAACCCAGGAAAAGCAGTGAGCTTTTAACCCAGCTGCTGTGCAGCAACACGGTGAAGCAAAGCCATGAAAAAGAACTAAATGCACGTGCTTCGAGCAGACAAAAAACATTCCTCTCCAAAAAAAGTACTCAAGGAGCTGGAATTAATCTGCTCAAACTTTTCTGGGTAGAAATGTCATTCTTGCTTCCCTCCCAAAGAGTGTGTTTTTTAAGTTTTCTTGAGCTTCTACCAATCCCTGCATACTCTCCTGTTTGGAGTTTCCATTCATATTTCCACTGGGGAAAAAAATAAACTAACTCCTCTGTATTGAGCTCTTAAGAAGGGATCCTGAAGTCCAGGCCTCCCTTCTAACAAAGTGAGCACCCCTGAGAGCTCCCAGGGGCCCGACTCCAAGTGCTTCACACACTGTCACATCACCGCAGCAAACACCTTTGCCATTGGGAGAGCACTTTAATCAGAGATCCTCTGGCCAAAGTCTCACAAATGGGCTAAAACCTTCATGCCTCCTTATCGTGCTGAAGCACTTAATAAAGCATCAAGGCTTTTCATTGCCAAGTCCCACTAGAGCACAGCTAAAAAGAGCAGCTAATTCACTTACCCGAGCAATCAGCTCCCCGACCATCCCTGTCCATGTGCCGTTCGCCTCGGGGACTCCATACACACCATCGCCAACGAGGTGGATTTTATAGTTGAAACGCAGGATCTCTGCCAGCTCCTTCAGCATGTCCACGCAGAAGCCCTCGTAGCGGTCGTTGCCTTCCAGCTCCTGATGGTTCCACTTCAGCATTAAGTAAGGGTTTTCCTGCATTGAAACTGGGCAGCTGTCATTCCCATCTTAGCCGAGGCGTCCCACCAGCGGGGCAGAGAGGGCAGTGGGCTCCCTGGCAGAGCCTCATATAGGGGGCACCCAGGCCAACCTTCCATCCCCATATATCCCTCTCAACCAGGGTGAAAGAGAGATGGAAAGCTGGTTTAATCACCACCTAGGTGGTGTGAAGCCAGCAGAGCTGTTTCTACACTAGTGTTCACTGCTGTGTCAGGGATGTGCAGCAGATGCATCCCACGAGGCAGAACTCAGGGATCATGCTTTGTGGGCTTTTTCCAACTGCAGTCCAGCAGGGCACACAGATCCCAGCTTCTCCCAGCAGACAGCCCCTTCTCCAGTTTGTTCACATTTTAAACAAACTTTGTGGGGCAGGGGGAAATAGTACCCAGAGTTCTTCAGGATTATAAGTGTTTTTAAGGAAGGAGCAGAGGTACTGTAAAACATCACGGGACAGGCAGCACATGGAAGGGACAGTGGTGCCTGCAGATGTGAAGTCTTGGTTCATGAAAGTTGTACCCATCTTGGCAAATTTCAGTAGTTTTATGGGTACAAGGGACAACTGTGCCCTCCAACTTACCAGCTGTATGTAAAACAAGAACTCCATTCAGAGATGAATGTAAAATGGCAACTTATCCCCATCCCAGCCCTCTCCCCAGCTGCTTCTGAATTCATCAAATATCATTTCCATATGAAACATCAACTTGAGTTTAATTACACTGTCATGAATTGTCCTCAGTGCTGTAATTAGAGATTCGATCGTCTGTTCTTTATGAAATCAGTGTGCAGTGCTGCATGCTGGGGGCCAAGGGGGGCAGGAAGAGGAAATAATATTCTAGCTGATTGACACCCCTAAGCATTGAGTTGGCAAAGAGCTAATGGGAACTGTAGGTGACCCCCTCACTTACCAGGATGGTGGTGACAATGAGCGTGGTGTTGAACAGACTGTCTGATATGTTGGAGGAGAAGATCCTGTTGTCCATGCTGAGTCCTTCAGAAACGTGCCAGTGGCCGATCTGGAGAGATAAACAGCACAATAAGGGAATTTACAGGGCAAATTACTGTACGCACCTGCCATATGGCTCTGGTGACTGACAACCATCAAGCTGGCCCTGCAAGAGGTGTTTATGAATGCTCCATTACCTTTACAATGCACCCCACCACGGGCCAGCAGAGAGATTAACCCACTGGTGCAGAGCCCTGGCACGACCCACCCGCGCAACAACGCCAAAATCCTGTCCTGGTGCCGCAGCCGCGGCTGACGACTCTCAGCTCTTCACGCAGGTGCCCTGTGCTATGGACACAGCTCGGAACAGCTTCAGGAAGCACTGAAGTCTCACAGCTCCACAGTGAAAGCCTAGAAATGGGGAGATGGCGTTCCGGCCTCCGACTCTCATCTCTGTAACTTTGAACAAAGGTCTCACCTGCCTGCAAGCAAAACCTCCTCCTGCCCTCCCGTGAGCATCACTGCTGTTAGGTACAGGCTGGGAGAGGCACGGTGAGTTCCTCCCAGGAAAATCCCAGAGCAGCAGTGCCGACGTGGGGCAGGTGTTTTCCAGCCCTGACCAGCAGCTCCACCTTGGCAGGTGGTGAAATGAAGCCACGTTCTCAGCAGTGCTGCACTGTGACTCATCCCTCCCTGCTATAATGGATGCCAACTATTATACTGTGATTAAGTACCTCAAAACACTTTGATTCAGGGTCATCACACCCAACAGCTCCACAGACAGCTGAATTCCCCCACCCAAGCATCAGTGCCACTGCAGCAAAACTAATTCCCACCACCGGTGATGGGGACCAGTCCCCCAACACTTGGGAGGACGATGTGACTCAGCTGTGACGCAAGGCAACCAGCCGCTGCCTTCAGCCAGGGGGAGGAATATTCAACAGGAACCTAATTTTAACTTCAAGAGCCTTATCTCCCTCCCTCAGAACTCTGGGCAGGGAGATCAGCACCTCCAGCAGCTCGTTCAGAGCATACAGATTAGGCTCTCTTTCTTAGGCTCCCTAAAACAGCCCCTGGTTTTTCTCTTGGATAGACTGTGGCCACTGCCTCTGAGACCCCTTCTCTCTCTTTTTTTGTCCTGCAAAGTCTCTCTGCCCCGAGCAGGCTCCAGCCCTCTGCATGCTGGGGTGCTGGCCACAGCCTATGTCCTTTGAAACCACTGAAGTGAGCTGCCACAGCCCTAAGAGCTAAGTGGTGACCGCAACGTGCAGCGGTGTCTTCGCGGCTCCTCCGCAGCCGTGGTGCCAAAGCAAATGTGCTCGTGCTGACACGAGCTGCCTCAGATGCTGCTGGTTTAAGGCAGGTTATCCTTCCGCTGTGCCACAGTTGTCAGGGTTGTAGGAACAAATCGATTTCTCTTCCATCAAATGGTAATCTTATTATGTTCAAAGAGGTGAGCGGAAGGCAACGCAGAGCTATGGGCCAGGCGGGTGCACCGCTGTGGAAATGAACAGGAGGCAGGCTGATTTACACCACCCCAGCATTGACTCCATGCACTCAAGTTGCTTTTCTTGGCAGTGCTTTGCCTCTGGCAATGACTGATGGCTTGAGAACCTCAGAGCCACTTCCCAGCTCACGCATCTGAGCCAAACGCCACCTAAAACTGCAGCCACGCTGCTGGCAGACTGAATCGCTCTGGACAAAGAGGAAAGGGCCAAGTCCTTTCTTCTCCTGGCTGTCGGTGCAAATCCGGCCCGAGCGACTGACAAGCCGTCTGTGAGGAGTCCCAAATCCAGTCTCCTCATCTCGAGGCACAAGGAGCAGTGGGAAGCGCAAGCAGGACAGCTTACGCCCGACGGCCCTGCAGAAGGAGAGCAGGCAGGGAAAGCAAAGGACAGTCACGTGCAGGTCTGCAATCAAGGCACTGGGATGCAGGAACACAGGCACAGCCAGCCGAGTCCCAGGGGGCACTTGTTTACTCTACAGACAACGCAACAGAGATGATTCCTCCGAGCTCTCAGCCCAGCCCCTTCACCAGCATTAATGATGCTCTGCTAAAAGCACCTGTCACGGCAAGGACCTCTGAATGTGCTGGCAGCATTAACTCTCAGCGTTTCCCCATCAAGAGGAGAGGCACTGGGGGTCATCAGCCTCACCTGACGGGGGGCAGATGGAGGCACACTGATGGAGCCGCAGAGCAGGCTGCGAGCACATCTTGGGCATCCTGTTCTCTTGGCTGCTGTTGTGGCTTAACCATCATCAAGCTTGTAGCATCACAGTGATGCTGTAGTGCAGGACTCATCTCTGGGAACAACAATCCCAAACTGGGAGATTTACCACGTACTTCACAGACAGGGGGTCCTTGAAGCACAGGTTTAGCTGACCTGCACAGGGTCTGTATTGGTGCAGCGGCGTGGATTTATCCCAGCTGTATCCCCCAACTGTGCACAAAGGTGCTTGCTTCTTGCTGTGACTGCTAAACAACAGACCCCCTCTGCAGCAATCGCCTCTCCCAGCAAGTGATCAGTCATAAACACTGCCTAATTTTTTTTTTTCTCCCAGATTTCACAACCAGAGATTAGTGACAGATTAACTTTAATTTTAACAGCCCTCACTGTTCTCAAATTTGTCCCTCCCTGCCGGCACACTGAGACTAATTGACTGCCTCCTCCTCTGACAGCGCAGTGGGTTTGACCTTGCTTTTAACACCGCACCAGAGCCAAACCCTCCCATGCGCCGGGGCACTTCCACCCCATCCTGGTTTGTTCCAGCTCACCACTGGCCCCCCTTGCAGTACGACAAAGCCACTAATTGACTCCTCACGCTGCTCGCTCGCTCTGAAGTGTAATGTGTCAGAGGATGTCTGGGACGGTCAGATCTCTCCCCCTGTTGCAAGATGGATGTCAAGGTGATTTTAATCATCTCTATCTACATATACAGAGCCTCTGAAAAAGAGAAAACACATTCATCTGCGAAACGTGTTAGGAAACAATTAAATGCCCTACATGGACATGGATAAGGCAATCCTGTTGTTAAGGCTCTGGACTAGGACTTAAGAGTGTTTAGGACTTGGGATTTTTTAGTAGTGGATATGATTGGTCTGTATAAATACACCAGGTGGAGGAGGTCCATTGCAAAGAGGTAGAACAGCTTTTGAAGCTAAAACGATAGCGTTGGCACAAAAATAAACAGATATACACCCGCCAGAAATAAACAGACTGAAAATGAGAAGAGGGTTTCTAATGATCAGAGGAGCTTACGTGATAGCGTATCTTTCCCAGAAGAGCAGTGAGGGCAACAGAACCACCTGGTTGCAAGCTGGAGCTCGATGCCTTTGGGAGAGGGACTCTATGATCTGGTGACAGCAGATAGCCTGTGGCCGGGATGGAGAAAGTGCCCTCCATGTCCTCAGGCTGTGTGGTCCTACTGCAGACGCCGGCAGCATCATCTCTGCACCTCCCGGAGCCTCCTCGTGCTCATCCTTCTGCCTCCTCCATAAATAGAGTCACCCTGCTCTGCCCCTCCTGCCTGCAGTGCTGGCAAGTGTCTCGAGGCAGGACGTCTGTCTTGTTAGACGTCCTCATTACAGGCAGGGAGCAAACACGCCGTTTCAGTGCAAAGCAGCCCAGAGAGCCTCGAATAAACCAGGAACTGCCATTGCTCACGACACTGCTCCATCCCCACAGGCAGGCAAGACCCCTCAAATTAGCTGCTCTGCAAAAGGTGTTATTTGGGTCGGTGACATTTAAAGATTTCTCATCTCCATAGAAAATCACCAGGGGCTAGAGTGATGCAAGCGGGACAATCCTGGCTCGCTTCTTCTATCCTCCAGCTCCTCCGTTCAGATGCAGCCGTGATAATGACGCCTGGGCTTTCAAGTTTCTTGTGCCACAAGATGACAAAATACCACTCAAGCTAATGATTTTAATGAAGTCTTCTGCTTTGTGCCCCGCCGGCCTTAATGGCAGCTCACGGCAGGGAGAGATGACATGGCAAGACCTCTCCATAAGCTTCACAGGCATCACTCCCCAGCTAAAAATTATGATAAAGCCAGCCCTGAATACACATGTCTTAAAACAGGCAGGGGACCCCCACTGCAATAAACCCAGATACCTTCTGGCCTCTGATTAGCAAGCACTGTCCTACAGCTTGCATTTATCACCTCCCCTTCCTCCGTGTTCGCTGGAAAAGGAAGAAGAGCAAAATGCTATCATGGCTCATCAAGTTGGCGTTTGGAAAGCCTTGTCAGTACGAGCTGGAAAGACACTGTGCCAGCAGGAGGTACAAATAAGTAGGTCCTTAATACATGGTGCCTTCGCTGGCCCAAAGGGGAGGGAATCTGGGGGTGCTTGGAGGGGGAAAAGGGAATAAAACAAATGAAGAAAGCCTTCAGAGGACACTGCACAAGTCTGCCATGTATTCCTGAAGGACACTGCTGCAAGGCTGATGCCAGCAAAACAAGTGGGGAAAAGCTTCCTCCACAGAAGTTAGCATGGGACACAGAGTGTGCCAACTATTAAAATCTGTACAGCCACGAGAGAGGCACACAACCCACCCCTGAGGCCTCACAGCAACCCCCATGATCCCTTTCTGACGCCAGGCATACTCCAGGCAGGACCTGACAGTGGCACACGCCGAGTTTGCTGCATCCTGGGGGGCAAAAGACATTTAGCTCTTGGCAGGATCTGCCCCTGAACCCTTGGTGGGGGCAACAGCTACAGAGAAACAAGTCCCATTGAGATTGATTATCTGCTTCTAAGTTAAAAAGGTTTGATGTGGCAGGGAATGCAGAGGGTCTCAGAGCTATCGGCTGGTAATTCATCTGTATCTCATCAATACAGCAATTAGACACCCCAGTCACTTCCACTGCTCTCTCTCCGGACACCAGCAGAGCCTTCAGCTAAACAGCCACTCATCAGCTGCACCTAGCAAGGGTCAGAGCAAGGTGGCACGGGCTGGGGACAACGTGCCCACTGCAGGGCTCCAGCCCAGACAGAAGCTTCCCCTGCCCTCTCGCCTTCCCTGTGATGTGCACAGCCCCTTTTCAGCGCCTTCTCCTGTTAAGCTGCCAAACCTCAGCGCTTGGTTTACTGCAAATCACTGTGCTGAAATGGGAGGGGTGTGCTGCACCGTTTCTTTAAAGGGGCAAGGAAAGGGAAAAAATAAAAAGATGACATTTACCAACTCAGTCCTTGTCAGATCTATGGATCACCAACACATTAATGAGTCTGTGCTTTATCGCGCATCCTTTGAACAGCGAGCAGCTCTCATATGGTTGGGGAAAAATTTCCACTAGTTAAGCTAAATCAGGAAAAGACACGTTTGGTGCGTTACATAAACATATTAAAAATTGGATGTCAAAAAGCCCTGTCTCTCCTTGCCCAAAAGCAACAGCAAGTTAGAAAATCTAAGTGACTCTAATTTGTTTGCTGGCTGGATCAGCTTCCAAATTCAGTGAATTCTCTATCAAAGCTGATGAGCTGGAAGTCCCCGTGGCTTTGGTAGGTAGAAGGAGAGAGGAGGAAAGAGAAAGAGAGAGATGGAAAGAGAGAAAGAGAGAAATGTGCAGAGAGTGTGAGCTTGATTAAAACTAAGGAGGGAATAGAAGTGTTTCACACAAGGCCCTAAGCAAATCACTTAATGTAACCCTTGGGAACAGGATTGTCTCCAGGACATAAACGTCTGTTCCTTACCCCACCCCCTCACCGTGGGTTTAATTAAATTATTTCTAATGATTTATTTAGTAATTTTTATTACAAGAGCCAGGCTGGAGAGAAGAAAATGACCACCCACAGCCTTTGGCTCCCTTTTGCAGTGACCAAGGGGTGGTAGGATCGGGCAGAACCCTGCCTAGGTTTCCCAGCTCTGTCCAGGGATGCCCATCCCAGCCAGGCACATCATGACAAACTTATGCAGCCTTTGAGGGGCCCCCACACCCCTCCCGGCACTGCGAGACCCCCAGGAGAGGGGAGCACAGACGGTGGGAAGGCTGCTGCTTTCCTGGGTACCTCTGGAACACAAAGCTGCTTATTTACCAAGCTGCTGCAACAGGTCAAAAAGGGTTTTCTCCTGTCAGATGGGGTTTGTGGAGAGGAGCTGATACTTCTGTCTCAGGGCAGATTAGGCTGCAGTCAGAGCTCTCTGGGGAGCTCTGGGAGAAGCACTGCTCCAAGAGGACCTGTGTGTTTAATGTGAGCCCCCTGCCACATTTAAACACATCAAAACCATAGCTGTCACAGGGAGCTTTACAGCATTTGCTCCAGCTGAATGCATGCACTTATTAATGCAGATGGGCTTGAATCTGTCACTTTTGCTCAGAGTATGATGGGTTTGGGAAATGATTAAAAGGGCATTGGTGCTATGAGAGATCTCACTGTGGGGAAAATGCCATCCTGATCCCCCGCTCACTCAGCTGAAGGCAGCATCAAAGCCGAGCTGTCACTTGACAGGTAAGAACTGGCAGGCAACATCCTTGCCAAGGCTAAAATTTACTGCTGCCAGACCAGGAGAGATTTCCTAATGCCAAAATGCTCTGTCGGTGCCGAGTAAAATACAATAGCTTTTGTTCTCTGCCAGCGTCTAGGAGAAGTGGCAGTCTCTGAGAAAAGGGCAGGTGTGGAGCTGTCAGCAGAGATATAAGGCAGATGCAAATGCTTTTACTGGGCCCTCCATTTTTTTCCTCCAGAATAAGGTTTGGATTTACCAGTAAAACCCTAATTCCTTGGGCTTGTGTCACACAGTCTCCACCACTTGTTATCTGTAGCCCCACATGGCTATCCTTAACCTTAGCTGAAGCCAGAAAACAGACAGAGAGAGGGTAAACGAGCAGAAAGAGCACCAACGCTGTGAGGAGTCTACAAGCACTGCAACAAAAAGCAAACGAGAGTCTGAGCTTAGCAAACCTGTTACAGAGGAACACGTCCCATAACCTGAGAGACAGATTATCTTGCACTTCTGCATGCTGGGGAGCGGCAGTGAGTTGCTCCTGGCACAGGATTGCCCCCTCTGCTATCCCTCCCAGAAGCAGTTGTTTGGAAAGGTTCCTAGTGCCCTTTTTTTGCCCACCTCATGGGACATTCTTCCATGTTTCCCCATCCAAATAATGTTGAGTATATGGGGCTCCACGCACATGGAGCAGAAGAGTCTCAAGCGTGAGCAGCGCGGCCGCTCTTACCTGCCGGAAGCCGCTGCGTGTGTGCTGCAGGATTTTCAGGGCATAGTTGGATCGCTGGCCTTTGCTGTTGAATTCGATGTGGCCGGTGAGACCTTCCAATTCTACCTGTCCAAGAGAGAATGAGTTACAGCGCCCATCGAGGCTGCCCATCCCACCCCACGCAGCAGAGGCCACCCACTCCCCAGCAGGCACAGCAGTGCAATCCCTGGCCCCAATCCTAACTGCTTTTGGAGTCTGGCTTGAGTAGCAGAGAGGGGATCAGGAGAATCAGCAGTACTCCCCTGATTTCTTGACTGCAGCTGGTTTGGAACAAGCCCCTCTACAGCCTCTCTCCACCCCAAGGCTGAGACCACGCTGCTCTGTGGCAGCAGGGACCAGCTCTTTGCTGTGTCACGCCGCATCGTGAGCTGGGGATTCCTCCACAAACCATTTCACAGCACCGGGCTGGTGTATAACACAAGAGCATGTTGCAACAGAGCCTCACTGTGCAGACTAACCACTGCTCACTTGCTGCTGAAGGACCTCTTCAGTAACAAGGGCAAGCTACCGGTAGCAGAGCCAAGGGAAGCTGAAGGATTTTGTTGTCTCTGACTAAAGGGTGCAATTTAAAGCACCTGCATGGACCAAAGCAGGACAAGGTTCAAGTTCAGCTGAGTCTTCCTTTGTGGGAGGGAAAAAAGGTCTCATGACATTTCAGCTGCACCTCAAACATGCTCAGGAAACAGGCTCCTTTTGCACGGTCAAGCTCAGCCCTGAGGAATCACACTGACAAACTCCAACTCTTTCACCAGGCAGGTCTGTTCTCATGCCAGAACTAGGCTTGATCAGTTCCAGCAACCACACTCGTGGGTTCAAAGGAGCCCAAGCCCCTTCATAGGGAAACTCACATCTTGCCACTGAGCTCTAAGCAATTGTTCTGCATGACCTTATATCCACTCAAGTTCACTCAAAACAGAGCTCAAATCACTCAGAAACATTCATACTTTAAAAAAAAAATCATTGAAATCCAGGGGTTTTGCAGCAAAGTCTGAAAAACAGAGTTTCATGTCATTCCAAGGCCAGTGACAAACCAGCCCTCAGATCTCCTCTCTCTTCATTCCCAGGGCTACCTTCAAACAGACCGATCCTCTGTGCTCGAGAACTGTGCCAGCACCAGCATGTACCTACACGTCTTTTGCTTCTGGCAGCAACGAGCTCTACCTCCTAACACAGGAGCAAACTTCAGTCCCTTCTCACCATTCTCAGGTAGTTCATCAGGCTGGTGCCGTGCTGCCAGATCTGGGCAGAGCCACAGGACAGGGGCTTCACCCCGATCTCCTGTTTCAGCTCCTGCACGGCCGTCACCACAGCATACACGGCATCGAAGAGCAGGGCGGAAGAGAGCTGTGGGCAAGAGGAAGAAAAACGCTGACATGGGAAGACAAAAATCGAGCGTTCTGCCGCACCTTGCAGCAAGCAGGAGAGTGCTCTATCCACACCCTCAGTGGGGGTCAGAAAGGAGAAAAATTCTTGCCAAGATCATCTAGCCCCGTGCTACAACCTCCAGTTCCCTGCTGGCTGCTACATGCTCTGCAATAGCATTGCTGAAGGAACACCCCGAGTGGCAGAGCTCGTCCCCTCTCCTCAGCTCTGCTTTCTCTGCCTTTAATCAGATTCCTTTGCCCATCAAGCCTCACAAACCATGTTTTTCACCCATGCACAACCATTTCAATGTTTTCGATCTAGTTAATAATCGGCCATTTGCTCTCTCATGTCCACTGTTGTGACTAAGATTTCACTTTTAATTATTGTCACTTCCTGACTCTGTTGGAATTAAATCATTGCAGTTCATTGCTGTCAAGGCTACATTTTCCTCATGGCTATTTCTGAGAGCATCCTCTTGCCATCCCTGCTCCCAGCAACGGGTTCAGGCTCTGAGCAGCCTGAGGACACACAAGGAATTGGAAACAGAGGTCTGGTATCCTGCATCCTCTCCTGCCTCGGCTATGAGATACCACAGGTCCCTTTGCAATGGCAACAAGCCTCTCCCCTGCACTTCTTCCCTTCTGTTCAGGGTAAATCTGCCAAGAGTTTTTGCTTAGTATTCACATCTGACCTAAACATTCCCCCTCCCAGGAAGCATTTTCCAGAGCTTCTTAAGGGAGTTGATATATTCTTCTCTCTATCTTTATTTTTTACCTTCAATTCAAGTTCTTTTCCTAATAGGATCTCTCCAGCCTATCCTATCCTCAGGCCTTGTTCCATGAAGCTCTTTAGCATATATTTAACTGTGGACTGAATCCTATTCAGGTTACAAGACGCTATGCACAATTAGCAATTGATTTCCTGAATCGGGAATTGTACTACTACCAGTTGGCCAGATGAAACTGTTATGAGAGCAAACGCAACCCCTGAGACCCTAAAGTTTCACCATCTCCCACCACATCAGAATATTGGCCCAGCAGTTTTAATTGTCTCCTGGTGGGTTTTCATTTCCATTTTCCCTGAGCAGTTAATGATCTCTTATTAGCTGGTGAGCAAGAGACTTGTAGATCTTAGTGAAGCATTTGACATTATTGATTGGAATATTTTATTCCTTAGCCTCAAACAATTTGTTAGGATTTCTGGCAGGTCGGTTATGATTTTAAGCAATTTAGGGATTGGGGAGGGGATTGCAATACACAGGATCAAGTCCTCTTGGTAGGGATTGGGAATCCCTCCCATGCCCTCAACATACATCTTTCCTTTTTTAAAGAAAGTACCACATTTCCATGCTGCTTATCATTTATGCCGTTCCCTACCCCACTGGGCGCAAACCCAAGCTCCTGTGCCAGCCTCTCAATTTTGTGGGCCCTGAAGCATGGAGCCTGGATGCACGGGAGCCTGGCAACACAGCAATATGCCAGTAAACAGACCCGTGCACCTCCTTTTAAACACCTGCCTTGATTCCCCCTTGATATCTCTGCAACAGCCACCAGGATTCAACCCTAGAGAGGTTCACGGCCTTCATTCTATTCCCTGTTATGGTACCAAAATCCTCTAAAGCACCTCCATATCTTCTCAGAGTCGCTGTCGTGGGACTGTCTTGCTCCACCTGCAACCCCACTGTCCCCTTTGTCTCTCATCTCAATCCAAAGCAGCATTTGCTCTGCTGCCTTGCTCCACCTACCTAACGGCCATCTCCCTCTGCCAGCATTCACTCAGTAAAACTCACATAAAATAAATCATATTCAACACAGCGAGGCAATTTGAGATGCAGGCTGTGTGGAGGAAACCGTTCAGTTACATGGCATCGGAGCACGGCCGCTCTTCTGGGTTCTTTAGTCTCTCGGGCTTTCGGAGCTAGGCAAGTGTCCTCCTGCAAGGTTAATGGGGTTAACGAAGTCAACCCAAGCTCACCGCTTCCAGCCACCTCCTGCAGCCCAGAACATTCAGATGAGGACCGGGTCACTTTAGCACATCCACTCTACCTCTCGCAGCTCGCCTCCGCGAGTGGTGCAGTCAGCGAAGCTGCTTGACTTTGCACTGGAACAGACACAAAGCAGCCACACGGTCTCTCGTGCCTTGGGGCCACAACCTTCAGCAGAGGAGCAGAGAGAGAGCTGGAGGCAGCACCTTGCTAACTTGCTCTGGGCAGATTCAGCACAGAGGATCTGTCTCTGCTCTCTGTACATCATCTCAACTTTGCTCTTGTCGCCTATAAAATTTCTCACTATTTTATGTTCTCATTTTAAACCATAGCTTTGTCTCTCTGTCACAAAAAGCCAATTTTCCTGTTAACAAATTGATTCTCCTCCTTGCGTGCATCATCAGATTTGTGCAGATCCCTGTTGTTTTTGTATTGTCTCTGCAATGTAAGAGCTCCGTGACAGGAGCTGGTAAGCTCAGCGGTGGGTCCTCCACTCACAGGTTCATGGGTCTCGGGGGACTTTCCTCCACCCCTAAAGCCTAATTCTTGGCAATGGAAGTGGCTGATAAAAATTGCTGCTTGACGGATGCCTCATCAGAACCAGGCTCCAGAAAAAGCAGCAGATGGTGGGCTGGGCAGACGGGCTCACTGCTCCATTTCCCTTGGCACGCTGGCAGCTGCACGAGGAGAGGCTGTACCCAAGAACTAAGGAGGTGCTGTAGGGTAAAACCATGACACAAAGCCCTCGGAACAACTCACCGACCAGAAAGGGTCAAGAAACAGATCTCTAGTCCTTGTGCACATCAGTTGGCAGGACCATTTCCACCAGTGTCCTGAAGGCAGCTGACCCTGCCACATTCCCTGCGCCCCGGGAGCGGGGATGCTGCCCCTGTTCAGCCCGGGTACAGCTCGCTGCTGCAGCACACCTTCCTCCCAGCACCACACCTGCCCCTCGAGAAGCTAACAGCCAGGCAAGCAGAAGATCCCACTTCATTTTTTATTTATGGAAATCTCCCACGTACAGGAATGTTTTTAAAGGTAAGCTCATCTCCAGGGAAACACGAAAAGGTTTGGCCAGTCTCGGTTTTGCCATGTGGGGTCTTTTTTTTTTCCTTTTCTTTCTAAAAAGTTATCATGTGTATCGTTGCCCCCAAACATAACATGGAGAATTAAACCCATTAAAATCTTGTGAAATAGACTTTACAATCTGGATTTTATTCAATGACATAAACACTTAATTACAAACATCTGTTTTAGTCTAAATTCTAATTACCTAATCTAGCCATCTGTAATTTGAATGATTTCTCTGATTTCCTTTCTTTGCAATGTGATTAATGAGAATGGCATTAGAGCAAGCAGCTCCCTCCTCCTTCAGACAGTTTCTCAGCTCTAGCAAGAAAGCCCTGGGATTTTGCAGCTCACAGGAAACCTCCCTCCTGTCACTTCCAGCTGTTGAGCTTCCTTCTCTCTTTTTAGTAGGAGCTATCCCACGAGATAATCTGCTTCCCAGGACTAAAAGCTCTTACGCAGAGAGTTGCTCTCTGGGTGATGAGACCTGCCCAATTTCTGATGGCAGAGACAATGCACAGCAAAATGGTACTGCATGTCCCTTGCAGACACAAGAGAGAAAACACATGCCCTGGCTGAGAATATTTCACTTGGCCTCTGCTCTCTATCTTCACCACCCAGCGTGGCCATCACACCTGCTGTACTCCTTCTGTCCCTACTGTGTTCTGCTTGTACTATTAGAAGTAAATTTATTTTAATGCCTCTAAACAGTCCCTGCAATTGTCATCCAAACAGGAAACTTCCTGGTAGCGATCCTACAGAGACTGAGCAGGGCAGGCAGCAAGCTCACTGCGGCCGCCCCTGCACAGGAGGGCTGGGAGGAGGGAGAGCAGGATGGTCCCCGGCACGTACTAACCATCATGTCAAGCCAATAGGATGTGGACACAAAGGGCAGAAAGCTCCTTATTCCGCTTGCTTACAACCCCTTTGTAGTAATAATAAGGAGGTTTTCAGCAGTACACAGCTGCCTCAGCTTGTCAAGGGGACGCCGAGTTCATTAAACACAATGCAAAGGTTCCACTGATGGCATTTTCTCTCTCTCTCCTCCCCCAGCTCCAGCCGTGACCCCCTGCATCCCCAATTTTGCATATCTGCTTTGCAAACCTTCCCAGATATGAAGAGCCCCTAGGGAAGATTCCAGTGCTGATCTGCACACTTGTCAGGGAGATGTTAGAGCACGCAACATAACACAGCCCCTTGGCATCTGCCTAAGCCCAGCCCTTGCTATGCTATTTGCATCCAGGCTCCCTCTTCCACAAGTCATTTTCCTAAAAGTGCAATACACGGGGACAAATTTCACTAGGGAAACACTGAATCAGCATTGCATCATCCCCTGCATTCAAATATAAATACAATTCAAATTAAGATATAGGCTTGAATTTAAAGCTGTACACCCATTCAAGCAGCAAATTCAACACCACATATCCCTACATGTGAGACCAGAGTTTCTACCTGCGTGGTCTTTATACGCATTGCCAGTGTCTGCTCAGAACCAGCCTGCAGCTCTTTCCACAAGGTTTTTCTGACGGTCTGGAGCAGCTTCCAGGTCATGGAGGCTGTGGGCGATGGGAACGCATTTTACTTACTGCTGGCCCAGTAAAAGGAGCATGATCGCAGTTCTCCTGCCAGGACTGGTTGAGGCTCTGGACAAACTCTTGGAAGAAAGCATGAGACTGGTTGAAAATGGAAAATCCCAGGATGTTGACTCGGTCATCCAGCAAGCTGTCCAGGCGCTGGAGGGAAAACTCCTAAAGCAGCCCAAAACAGAAAATGGGATTAGGGAAGAAAACAGGCACCAAAAGCTTGAAAAATCACTTAATAGCCTGTTGTGCTGCTCATGACAATGGAAGCAGTTACACGAGAAAGCCACTTTCCCAGAGAAAAGTCCAGCCCTCCTTGTCCTATTAGCAGGAAATAATGGTGTCTTCCTCACTGATTTCTCTCTTGCTAATTGCTAAAATGGAGCGAGAAGGTGGGAGTAATAGTTTCAGAAACTGCTGGATACCCATTCTCTTCCGTCACTAATACGAATGTCTTTTGGCTCCGTGGGCAGTTACACGAGAAAGCCACTTTCCCAGAGAAAAGTCCAGCCCTCCTTGTCCTATTAGCAGGAAATAATGGTGTCTTCCTCACTGATTTCTCTCTTGCTAATTGCTAAAATGGAGCGAGAAGGTGGGAGTAATAGTTTCAGAAACTGCTGGATACCCATTCTCTTCCGTCACTAATATGAATGTCTTTTGGCTCCGTGGACTATGAGATTTCAGCAAGTCAAGTCATTTTTTATCTTCCTTGCGTATGTGTGCACGTAGGAACAATGTCTGTAAATCTCCGAAACATGGAGTCAGGAGACGATTCCAGCACGGCAAACTCCCACGAGAACGTGATCAGACACAGGATTAAGTGCATTTTGGACACAACCACATTAACGTTAGGTAACATGAAATTGCCTGTGAACTATTGATTCATTTGAATGATATTATCCTCCTGCCTTCCTGGCAGGTTATCCATTTACCCACGGCATCCTGTCAACCCGCGCAACGAGGGCAGATGGCTAATGAGGACCTGGGCCCGAGGAGATCCTGGATGCAAGCAGAGCAGCAGGAGGTATGTCGAGCCCCTGCAAAACACCACCTCCCCTCTAGCCAGAGCCGGAAGGCAAATTGCGCAGGGCACAACGCGAGCAGCTGCCCGACTGCCCTCTTGACTTTGTTATGCACAGAAGAAAAACAAGATGTTAGGTCCCAAAACAGCCACACAGTCCAAGGCTTTGGTCCCAGGCCAGACTGCCCCAGTCTCGAGGAAATTAGTGCCTTCATTTATTACACCTTCTCTGCTTTAAAATCGTTCCTCATCTCCCTGCGCAGCTTTTGAGAGGGATCCCCGCCTGCATCACCCCAGTTTCCCAGGGAAATTCCCACACCCGCTGAGGGTGCCAGGACTCGCTGCCTGACAAAGTGGCCGCAGGCAGAGTCGGACACATTTGCCTCGGAGTCAGTGCTTTGCTCTGGTCCAAATGTTAACAGCAGCTTTTCCCCAGCTCCCATTACTGGTGGCTGCTCATTGCAAGCTTTGGGGTTTGGTTGCTTTTTTGTGTTTTGATTTTTTTTTTTTCCTACACCCAGCGTTCTTCGTATCCAGCTGCAGAAAACCCCATTTCTGTTGCTGTCACACTCATAAAGCATCCACCTCTGTAACACAGGGGGATTGCATGGCCTGTACACGACCCTTTCCCTGCACTGCTCCCCTCCCTCTGCTCCAGCTCCAACCCTCGCCTTTAAATGTTTCTCCGTCAGACTTGCACAAGAGCATTTTGCAGACCCAGGTCAGAGACAAGCAAATGAGCCATGAGCTGCCAATGCAGCGAGGTGGAGATAAACCGTCCTTGGGGGACACACTTCATTTGCAATGGGATAAGAGAGATTTGGTAAGGTCAGGCTTGCTACGGAGGGCAAAGGGGTGAGAGCATCCAGATACTCCAGTAGCTGCCGGCTCAGCTTCTGTCCCTGTTTGGTTTTTTCCCTTTCCTACATGGTCATTCATCACGCTTGACATTTCCAAACCCACGTTTTGCAAACACAAACTCATTTGCCATTCAAGACCTGCACCTCTCGGCTGATTTCCAGAGCCTGACACCCATCTGCCAGCCCTGGTCCTACTGCCCTGCCCTCCGATGGCAGGGGACGACCGAGCCTCTGACGCTGCTCAGCAAGAAGCAAGCACTGTCAGGAAAACGGGTGGAAGTCCTGCTATTAGAGGTGATCTCAGATGGCTCCTCTCTCCATGTGTCTGTACGCAAGCGTGAATGCAAATCAAAGAGATGGATGCAACCACCATCTCTCTCATTACCTCCTACTTCACTGCCAATGATTTTTTTCCCCCTCCCTACACTGGAACAAGTAATAGCTGACCAGCAGCACCTTGCCCTCCATCTCAGTCCAGCTCCTTTATGCCAAGCAGGGCAATGAGAGGCACAGAGAAGACCCTCAGAAATCACGCTAAGGCAAATTGCAGGTACACAAATCCTGGCTGCCTGAGTTCTTTCCCCTCTCCTCTGTTTTTTAAAGCACCCACCAAAAGTCAATATTTTGTTTCATGAGATCTCAGAAAAATTAGGCCCTGAGGGTCTGCAACCAAACTTAATGAACTTTTACAGAAGAAAACCCCTCAGGCTTTGCTCAAATCACAGCAAATTCTGCAGCAGCACCAGGCAATTACAGTGTAGATTTTCTGACTTCTACTACAGGGCTGCAACCACTAAATATGTGCTGTTAAATAACAACACTTAGCAATTCTATGGCACTCTATATTTTCAAAGTGCTAGGCACACATTAGCTAATTGAATACAAAGGGGTTCCCTGGGAGACAGCACTGGAGGAGCTATTAGAGGATGAAGTCACTCTTGGGTTTCTCTGCTTCACGCAGTACTCGACCTGCATTCTCACTTTACAGCAGCAGACAAATCCTATGGAGTGACCCAAACGTTTAGATCATTGGGAGAACCTGGCTAATAAAAGCCACACAGCTAAGCTCTGTAATTCATGATTTTAAAGCCATGAGCTATGACCAGGAGATTTACAGGCTATGGTGGCCATTCCATTAGGAACATAAACCCATGAGGTAGGAGCATATTGCTCAGTGCAAGTCTCTTGACTTGCACGTTTGGACTGTGTGCCAGGTGATCCCCATGGGACCTGCAAGTCCTCTCCCTCCCCAGCCCGCACCAGCGACGGGGCTCTCACAAGGCTCAGGTGGGTTTCTGATGGAAACCACCCTCCCTGCCCTGCCTGATTCACTCTGGCTCTGTAACACAGCAGCAGCAACACGCTGCTTCTCACACTGTCACAGCACGGTGTACAAAACCACCACTGCCTTGCCCTGTGGGAGCTCCTGCCAGGAAATTATTACACCCGCAATACAGAGAGGGAAACTGAGGCAGAGAGTAAAAAATGGCAAGCGATTAAAAACGTGACAGGACAGTTCAGCCTAAGAGATTCATGGATAAGCCATGTGCCTCACAAGACAAAACATCAAAGCCAGCATTCGTGTGTAAGCACATAGTTAATAAAGTATCCTCCCAAATCTGCACCGAAGTGCTCCACTCTCACACTAAAGAAGATCCCAAAAACGATGTTGCTGCTGGCCTCAATGCCACCGGTCACACCCTCCCTCCCAAGTCTGGAGACTTCTGCGTGGAAAGGGCCAGTCAAGCAGGGGATTATTAGTGTCACAGCAGCCTGCCGGATAAGCAAATGTTTTTTAAATAGTGGAGCTGTGAGTCCTCGAGACTCCCCTGCGCTGCCGTGCTGCGGTCTCACTCCAGCGAGTGGCTCCTGGTAATTGCTCACCCCGCGGCGGCAGGGCGGCCGGTTTGCTATTCAGCACTCTGCATCAGCTATTGAGCTCCTTCCAGCTTTATCGATTTTGCTGGTGATATTGTTCTGCATCCCATTTGTGTGTGCAGAACCTCACTCCCCGGCTCGATTCTTATCACATTTTTAATAACTTAGATCACCCGTGAAGCAGGGAGACAGTGACAACTACCTGCATGCTGGAGACAGGTTTGAAGATGGGCTCGTTTTCGCTCTTCCTGACTCCAAGACCTTCCCACACTCTGCTCGACCTCAGCCCATGCCAAGCCCCTGAAGGAACAGGATTTACTCAATTCAGCCTGCACTGACTACTGTCGCCCTCCCTCCCTCCTCTCTCTTGCTCACGCACAGAGGATTATCTTCCTCTCTCAATCACTGAAAGGAGTTCACCAGATTTTTGGATCTGCTGATTAGCAGCCTCCAAGTCACCCTCTGATCCATTGCCCAGTGCTGAGCAGAGAAAGTCCCAGTGCTGTAAGCTCACCAGGCTGTCCTGACCTCGCTCCCTGTGGTCCCAGCCAAGGATCTGGCCCTCTGATGGCAGCAAAGGCTGATTTACACCAGGCACAGGCTCACTGTGGGTCCAGAACATGCTGTACTGCTCCTTCTCTATTTTTATGTGGGATGGGAAGGAGAATACTCGGCCAAGGCTTCCATTTCTCTATTAAGCCCTCGATCTGGCAAAAATTCCATTTCAAGAGTATCTAGCACTTAGAAAAGCTGTCACCCTCCAAACACAGACTTCCAGTTCCCATCCTGAGATTGCCTGGCAGTTTTTAGGCAAGAGTCAAACCTTCAGCTAGTGCAAAGTCAGCACAGCTTTAGAGACTTTACTGCCGACATCACTGGATGCCAGTGTGCCTCGTTACTCACCGTTTTAGGGTTAACCAGAGAAGATCAAGTATCGCAGCTCTTGGTTCTTTGGACAAACAAAATTCTTTCCAGGAAGTCTCCTGACAAGACTTTAGGCTCCTGCAACACTTGAGGTCCCTCTCCTACTGATGAAGATTAACAGCACCAAGGGTACAAGAAGGAAGAAAAAGTTGCTTATCAATGAAGGACACAAACCCCATTATAGTGACCTTCTCTGCTAGATGCAGCAGCGGAGAAAATGCCTCTTTTCACCACTCCGGATCTTGCTGCCCTCAGACCTGAGCTGCAAAGTCCGTTAATCCTTCCCTAAGATCCTCCAAGAACACATTTATTTATTTACTCAAGTGGACAGTATTATGTTAAGTGCTTTATGTTTTTCTTGAAAGGCTCAGTTTATTTATAAACTATTGACAGAGTCAATAAGTTTATAATGGGCCACATGTAAAAATCAATTTCTCTGGAAGAAAAAAAAGTCATCACAGCAACAAACTGTGGCCTTTTGAGTAGTTAAACGGATGTGGGAGACCTACTCAAGGCACCGTTATTTGGCCATTCTTGTAGTTAAAGAGGAACTGTGATCTCAATGAACTGAAGGACAATTTAGGGGAAATGCCCATCTGGAATCTGGTTGCTCTGACACATCACAAGAGCATCAGTGAGCCATATGCTAGGAAGAATGGGTCTTTTATCTCCTCATGCAAGGAGAGTTATTAAATTTTGGAGGCTGTTCTTCAAATGAGAGCTCCTTAGGAAAATACACTGCCCACATCCCCAGTGAAAGCAATTTACTTTAGCTTCTCTGCAGGGAGCCTGAGGTTTGAAGAGTGACAAATCCTCAGAGAGTGAAGAGGTTAAGTGCTAACGCTGGGACCTGAAGAGCACAGCTCTTGGAAAACAAGGGGCAGAAAGTCTGAAAGACAAATAGGGCAAGACAGCATGAGGGCAGAGGAAAAGAAAGGGGTTTGCCCTCCCATCAGAGGGCCTGCTCTGTATCTCAGAGAACGATTTACCGAACAACTGGAAATCAAGGAGAGGCTGGACTCTGAGCAATGCATAAAGAACTCCCAGGCAGGTGAGGTAGCACAGGCAGCAAAGCGCAGGGAGGTGCAGTTATTGCTTCGTCTAAATCCTCCTTTTCTCATGCTAACTAGAATGAGGAGAAATTGCTTTGGCATCCTTGCAAAAACCTGATTTGTTTGTCTTGCTACCACATGCCACTGAAAATATGAACCATAAATCCAGGGAATGATCGGGGCTCTACGAGAAGGTTTGCATCAACTCCTGGGAATCAGGAAGGCTGGCTGGACTGCAAGGCAGAATTTGTCAAAGCCTAACAAGAGAGCCTGCCTTCTCCACCTGCGCCAGCGAGAGGAACGGTGCCTGTGGTCAGCAGAGCAGGTGCGGCGAGGCCAAACATCCGCGACGCCGCAGAACAGACACAGAAAGAGCAGATAATTTCACGAAGCAGGACCAGAACCCTAAGCTCCACAGCCCTGGTCAAACACTAAAGCTGCAGTCCATTTTCCCTCTGCTTTGCTTTACATCATTCCCTCCTTCCAAAGGAAGGACAACGACGAGCTATCGCTGAACCCTGTGATGTTGTCTGGGTGATTTGGGGACTAATTTCCCCTCCAGTTCCAACAAGGCATACAGAGCGACAATTCAGCTTTAAAGCCTCATCCTATACAAAGACCAATCTCTTTATAAGTCATTAAACAGAGGAGAAAAAAAAGGAAACAAACAAACAAAAAAAAAAAACACCAACCCACAAACCAAACCAGAACTGATTTATCAGGTCCCTGGAAATTGAATATAGGAGCTGTTTTATCAGCAACAACACCTCCGCACAATATTGTTGGGGAACAAAAGTGCATCCAATGAATAGACCCTCTGACTCAAGGCCCTAAAGTAAAACTTCTTTACACCTTCCTTCTTACAGTAAATTTTAACTGTTTCAATTATTTCTATCTAATCTCCTTGATAAATGTTTTAAAGTTTAAACTCAGCCTGAGGACCATACGTTATATTAAATTAAAAAAAACAGAAGAGGGAAAAAACCCCACAACCAACTACACAGAATTAACAAGCTGAAATAATTAAATCGTAGCACAGGATTTTGTGGGCATCCAACCCCCCTCCTGTCTGCACTGCTGATTTCAAGGATTTCCAGCACTGGGAGGAATATTTTTTTTCAACGCACAGCAGACTGCTTGCAATACGCTATTTCTGCACTGGTATTATTGTTATTATCATTATTATGGAGCACACCATTGCCCCCTCACACCGTCGTAAGCACAGGGAGCAGGGAAGGGATGATGAGCAGCTCTGGGCTCATCTCAGCCCCTGGATCAGAATTTGCAAGTAATCAGTGGGAAACGTCAGGCCTCCCAGAAGGGTAGGTGTCCCAGAGCACGGGAGAAGCCAGGGAGAAAATTGAGGCAAACTGAGATCTTTCTGCAGGAGGACGGAGGACAGGAGGGTGCGCAGCTGCCGTGAGTACCCCCCTTATGCGACTGATGGATATGGGGAAGAAAAACACAATGGAGCTGCTCTGCTCTGTGAAGACCCCTGGAAAATTTGTTGAGCTTCTGCTGCTGACAAAAAGGGTCCCGTGCGCTGGCTGAAGGAGGCTGATAATGAATTTGCACGCGGTACATCAACCTGTGGATATTTTTACTTCAGGCTGCTCTCCTCAGCTCTGATGGAAGCGCATTGGGGTGAAGGACTCCCTTCTCCTTTGCTCCCGCAACCTCCTGCCAAAAGCTGGCTCTTGCTCTCAGGCACCGCTCGGCCTCCCCGCTGGCCGGCGCCGAGAGTGATGCCGGCGCTACCTGCAGCCATCGGGTGGGCTACGGAGGAGCCGTCACCCCTCACTTGCTCCCCATCGACCGCGCCAGGAGTCGCGGTGACTTGTCTCCATCTCACGCTCTGCAGAGAGCCGAGCTGCGACACACAACGAGCTGCTGGCCGGGAATGTGCTTATTAAATAAAATTAATGCTAGAAGACAGAAACAGAATTCCCCTCCAGTGCCGCAGGGCAGGTGTTTAATTCAGCATTTTATCCCCTTTTCTTTTTTTGCCTGAAATATTTTTCCATTTCCAAACAGCTCAATGTTACACAGACTGTCTATTCCCCTTCTGATGGGTTCTCCCTCCCTTTAAAGCCATCTTTTTGCTTGCTCCCCTTGACAGCAGTTCACTATGATTTTATCTTTTCTATTAGGGAGTGATTGCAAAGCCTCAGAGGGTTCATTAGGAGCTTGATAATCCCTCCAGGTTTATTAGTCTACGTTGCTCACTGCCATCTCTCATCCTCATTTAAATATTACTAATTTCCTTAAACATCTCCTCCATCTGCCCAGGTTTTGCCCGATGTCACCTTTCTTAACAGTCCCTGCCAAAAATCCAGTTAGTTCTGCTGAGGGCTGGTCTTTTGCACAAAGTGGTAAAACAGCCTGGGTAAACAGATTAATATCCTGTGAGACTGAATGGCAGCAAAATTCATTTCTCTTTCACCTGCCAGAACTGCATTACACTAGATGAACGGGTTTCAAAGACAGATTTCAGCTCTTGACCTCGAGCAAATGCTGAACTGCATCCATGCTAAAAAACCAGGGTGGCGGTGAGCTTAATTTTTATAGTTATCGCTGTTGTCCAAGCTCCATTCGGCAACACGGACTCCGCTGTGCTGGTGATGTCCAAAAGAAATCCCTTACCACGTCCTTTGTTGTGGTCCATGAGACGCACAGCAACTGCCAAGACTGGTGTGGGCAAGTGGAACAAGAAACAGTTGCTGGGACAAGAGGGCAACGGCAAAACTTGGGGCGAGATATCACAAAGCAGCAGCCACTGCCTTAAAACAAGTGACCTTCACCTCCCGAGGGCACAGCTCTTCCCTCCGGGCTCAGCCCTTCCTTCCGCTGCCCTGCCCAGTGCCCATCATTTGCGTAGGGATAAACAGGAGCAGTGAAGCTTGTTCTTGCTGGACTGCTACTGAGCACGGTTAGGACCTGTGGATCAAGTGCTAAGCAGGAATCAGAATGCTATCAGTTCAGGTAGGAAGCTCGTGGCTTTTGCATTTTCCTCTTTTCTGACATCTCCTTTCCCTATCCCTTTTCCATTCTCTGTCCCAATCGCTCTCTCGGCTTTCAACCCCTCCGTTTCACTCCTTCCCCCTCCTCCTCTCCATTCCAGCTCTCCTGCCTACACATTTGGCTCCATCCGTTCCAGTCTGCCTCCCACCCAAACACAAAGCGTGATTCAGCTCTCGGCTTTCCTGGCACACACACCCTGGCATAAATATTAATAGAAATTAGAGAATATGAGTATCATTTGGGGTTGGAAGGCACCTCCACTTAATCATCCAGCCGCACTCAGGTTTCCATCATCCCCACACCAGCATTAATAGGCAGGTATCTGGTCCCCCCAGCAGCAGCATATCCCCCATTCCACTTGGCAGTCTGTTCAAGAGCCTTGTAGCTGCTGCAGCAATAGAAGTTTCTCTGATGTTTATTTTGGGTTTCCCCCTGCTGCTGCCTAAGCCCATTACTCCTTGTTTAGCACAGTACTCGGGGATTTAACCGCACGATCCCCCCATTAATGTTATTAGTAGCTATAAAGCCAAATCATCAGGGGCCATGCTGGAGATATACCCCGCTCTGCCTCTCACCATTTACGGTATCATCCTTCCTTTGTCTCACACAGCCGCTCTCAGGGATGCAGCAGCGAAGTCCTCTGCACGCACACCCCAGCACAGCCTGCCCTTCTCCTGGCCTTGGGGCTTACGGCTCCAGCGTAACCCTCCTGAGCCCTCGGTGAGGAACCAGCCACGTGCTGGTGGTTCCCGAGGACCCCCACATCTCTTTGCACAAGCTGCAGTGCCTACAAATCCTGCCCTTGGCAGCTGCACGGGACAGATTGGTGCTACCAGGCACCCGTCGGCTTTCACCTCCCAAAGGCCAGGGCAGAGCAGGACTCTCCTCGATTGATGCTCAGGTTTGCAGGGGATGCCACTCCTCTCCTCCCTCCCTGCTCCACCACAAATCCCCTGCTTTGCAAGCACGTAGCTCTTCCCAACACTCCCACGGGCCGGGGAGATCAGCTCCCATTAACATGACTCTACACGCGCACGGGAGAAAAGCCGAGAAAAACGTCTTACCAGATTAGTGAAGATATACGTGTAATAGGCAGACGCCATTCCCAGTTCAGCTGCCTGTGAAGGAGAGGAAAGGAGATTAGACCAGAGCCTGACAATCTTCAATCTCCACTCCGGCAAGGCAGAGACTGGGCCACATTTGCTTTTTCATCCTTATCGCTCCGTGCAAGCGCTGATGTCTTCCTGCAGGCAGGGGAGGCTGGGACACAGCCACGCAATTTGACCTGCGAAATTAAAGTCCTGGGAACCAATTTTTCAGCAAGACTGAGCCTACCTCTGAGGTCTCCTCTCCTCAGCAGCGCTGACAAAGCACGTGCAGAGGCACTGTCTGGCAGAGAGAAACCACCCAGCACCGCATGAGCCGCAGCTCCGGACCTCTCTGACCATCTCTGCACCCTCCGCAACACGGTGCAAAACATTTTCTGCACTTGGCCCCATCCTGCAGGCACGTCCAGCCAAGGACAACCTAGAAGGGAGATGCCCACTGCAAGCAAAAGCTTTTGCAACCCCAACAGACCCTGGCAAGGCAAGGAGGGGTCCTGCAACCCCAGCCCGGGGCATCCAGATCCCCTTGGGATGAGGAGTTCCTCGGGTGTACTGTGTGTTTGAAGGAACGCAAGGTTGGCTGAGGTTTGCTGCTTTTCTCCTGCTGACAGCTGGACTCGATCTTAAAGGTCTTTTCCAACCTAAACACTTCTGTGATTCTATAAAGCAGCAGTTGAGAAAGCTCAGGGCTTGTCTCCTCTCACCACAAATACGATGCAGAGAGAAAGGCAGAAAAAGCCCTTCTGGAGCTACAGGAAAAGGACAGTCATCCCAGTGGTGGTTTTCCCACATGTATCAAGTCAAATTTGGGCTCCAGTCCCACAAATTAATTAGCATGAATGAAACCTAGTAATTCAGCCTGTTCTCCAGAATTTAGACAGGGTTGCAACAGCCACAGAAATAGAAAAAGAGGGTAGAAGTGTACAGAGGTGCAGAGAGAAGGGCACAGATTTTTCCATGGGATGATGAACTCTAGAGATCACAGACCAGATCACTGAAGTCCTTTTCCAAAATTCAAAAATCTCAGTAAACAAGGAGTTGGTTGTGGGAACAGATGCTCAGGAAAGTGGGGGATTAATCTGCAGCTCCTCCTGAAAACCTATGTTTCATTGCCAAGCACAGCTGGTCTCAAATCATGCTTCTGGACCTTGGCAAAGAGGTTTTCCCAACACCCCAGACCACACCGAGGAACTGGAGGCAGGCAAGGAAGGACCAAAGGCAGCACCTCCTCACTCGGGTTTAGCCCCTTTCTCCCCCAGAAGCTGGAGGATGGTGACAACAGAGAGCGAAAGACAGAAAAATACAGAGAAAAGGTAGCTTAGATTGCATGTCTCTCTGTTCCTGCCTGTTCTTTACCTATTTCTGTGCAAAATCTGGTTGCACGTTGCCAGCCTGCCTCTTGCACAGGCAAAGTGCACACAGCAAAGTCATTTGACCAAAAGAGCTTGATTCCAGGTGAGGCTGCCGACCTGCCTTTCAGCCAGCTTCCCAGACAGCTGCCTCATTTTTAAGCCCCTACACAACAAAACCTGGCACCCACTTCCCTCCCTTTTCCCTTCCTGGGGACAGCGATAATGTCAGCTCTCTCTCTGACCCACTTTGAAGTCAGTACATTTGATTTCAAGGGCAGAAAATCAAAGCGAGCAGCAAAGCACTTCCTGCGAGCATCGCTCCCACCCGTTTCACGCGCCCGCTGGCAGGTGGGCAGCTGGGACAGGCTGGTAATCGAGGAAGCAACCAGGTGTCTCCAGACCGTATGTGAAGGGTAAGATATGAGAAATTGCAATTTCTCTCATTGTCCAAGGCCAGGACTGCTCTCCTGAGAGAGCTCCGACACAAGGAATTTTCAAAATAATTTTCTTTCTCTTGATGACCTGTGGGCAGGGGACAAGCATTTACCTGCTCGCTCACCAAAACCACGCTCCCTACTCTGGTTGCACTTCTACAAAGAAAATACTTTCTGAGATGCGAGAAGCTGCCAGATCAGAAGCTTTTTATTTATTATTTTCCGTTCCTACAATCCTCTAGCTGGGAAGACTACATTAGGTTTTACTGAACTGCTGAAAAATCGTGGCAATCTCTGACATCTTTATCAGTCATGGCAGAAGGATGCTCGAGCTGGGAAGGGAGGCTTTGGGTGCCCAAAGAGTGCTGCTGTGTGCCTGTGGGAAGTCACTATAGCAACAGAGGAGGGGGACAGCCCTCAGCAGCCAGGCAGCACAGGGAACAGGCCAAAAAAAAAAAGAAAAAAAAAAACACCAAGAAAAAAAACCCCAAACAAACACACTCTGCTTAGAGGAGACACAAAAAAAAACCACCAAAACCCCCTCAAACCTGCCTACTTAGAAATGCAAAATTGCAAGCAGTAGAATAAAAATCCTAGGGGAGGTAAGGAGTAATATAAACAGCTCTTAATGGCTTCTGCTAGTTGTCATTAGGGATAAATCTGATACAGTTAAGGCCTTTGAATGAGTGACTCCCTGATACCGCAGCCAGGACGCTCATTTTTATACCTGCACCTATAGCTGAGGGGGGGGCCCACTGCTTGGATTCTGCCTCTATTCAGGAAAGTACCTCTTGTTCCTTCCAGGAGGTGGGAAACTCTACACAACTTTAGACTCCATCTGGAGCCACGGCTCGATTTTGAAGTAGGCTATCAAAACAAATGCTAAAAACTGCAGCAAGAGACCATTTAAAAATAAGCATGATTAAAATAAAATCTAGGTTAATAAGACAATAAAAAAAGGGAAGCAAAAAGAAAGTTAGAAATGCACTTGGAGAAAAAGAGAAAAAACTATTACACCGATTGACTAATTTCAGAGCGCTGAGCGGCCCTCCACGGCTGTTGGATGGCAGCAGGAGCCACAAGCACACACCACTTCTACAGAGCAAACACATCATCTCAGAGCAATTAAACCATTGCTTCTACAGACACAGTCCTGGAAAGAGAGACCAAATTATTTTCTCCAGAAACTCCATCAGTGGCAATTCCCCTCTCAGCAGAGACCATTTCCACTGTTGCTGCAAGAATTTTTACACTCCATTATCACACAACACCTGCACGTGCGTGCTCATGTTCTGCACAAAGTACCTTGTTCAGTGGAAGCAGCAGCATTTACAACCGTGACACTTAAGAGACGCTTACCTTCTGCAAAATGGTATGAGACATGGAAGCGTTGGCATGTACGATGATGGTTGCTGTTTTGTCATCTCGGATCTCTTTCAGGAGGGGGGTAGGATCCCGGCTGTCATCCAGCATCCTGACTGAGAGAGTGTCCTTGGAAATGAGGAACTGCCGAAGCAACTTCTCTAGGTTTAAAAGGCCTTTAAATGAAAAAAAAAAACCACAACAGATACCTTTAAATGTCCCTGCTGCAGCTTTCTTAGCCGAGAAAGCATATTTGATAGTCTGTCTCTTCTATCCAGCTGCTGAGCTTCATCAGGAAATAACCTCCTGTCAGCTCTGATTGACCACACACCACCAGATGCAATCATTAGCGAGCACATTAGACAGCAAACGTGGCCACACATCCCATCCTGACAGAAAGACAATCCAGAAAGAAGGAGGAAAGCCGAACTGAAAAGAATTGGTAAGACCAGAACTCTCAGCAGAAACACACAGAATCACAGAATGTCAGGGGTTGGAAGGGACCTCTGAAGATCATCTAGTCCAACCTTCATCCCAGCACACCCAACCACTACACCACAGCCTCAAGTGCTAGATCTACTTTTTTTTAAACACCTCCAGGGTTGGTGACTCCACCACCTCCCTGGGCAGCCTGTTCCAGTGCCTCACCACTCGTTCAGTAAAGAACTTCCTCCGAATATCCAATCTAAACTTACCCTGACGCAACTTGAGGCCATTTCCCCTTGTCCTGTCATTAGTAATTAGAGAGAAGAGACCAGCACCAGCCTCACTACAGCCTCCTTTTAGGCAGTTGTAGAGGGCAATAAGGTCTCCTCTCAGCCTCCTCTTCTCCAGACTAAACAAACCCAGTTCCCTCAGCCGCTCTTCATAGGGCCTGTTTTCCAGACCTCTCACAAGCCTTGTTGCCCTTCTCTGCACCCGCTCCGGCACCTCGATGTCCTTCTTGTACTGTGGTGACCAAAACTGGACACAGTACTTGAGGTGAGGTCTCACGAGTGCTGAGTACAGGGGCATGATCACCTCCCTCGCCAGCAGACGGAGGGGTAAAGCCCACCCTCGGGCCAGAGCTCTACTCTTAACCCAACAGCACTTCGAACTGCATGAAAGTGCTCAGTCACCAGCAGGGCAGGGGCTGGGGAAGCGATACAGCGTGATGGGATTAGCGTTGGAGCTTTCAAGGACCCCCAGCACTTCACAAAGGTAACAAAGCAGTGCATTAAAGGGGATGCATCCAAGATCAGGAGCCTCTCATTCACAGTGAGAGTTTTTCAGCACGCTAACATCGCACTGAGCTCTTTATGACACATTCGCCTCTTTGCTTTTCTCCAAGTACAGGTAGGAACGCAGTCAGGGACCACAAAAACAGGACTTCTCTGGATCACACCATCTTTTTATTTCTCGCTAGCCAGCGAATTCACTCTGTGCACAGGACACATGGGCTAGACCTCAGCTGAATACTCTTCTTGTGTGCTAGCTCAAGCGAACAGTACATTTTACCTAAGCCTTCCTTTTGATTCTTGTGAGGTTTATTTTCACCTTATTGCACATCTGCAATGGACCAGACAGGTTGCTGCAAGCAACAGCCCTGAGAATACCAAGTTTACTTACAGCTCATCCCAGCAATATCTGCTGCTGCAAAACTGAGGAAGATTTTAAGAGCACTTTACTTATTTAATAGAGATATTGCATTAAAAAAGAAGACATAGGAATTTACCCTTCTTTTCCCCACAACGATTTAATTTTGCACTCACTTTTGGACAGACCTAAAGGAAAAGGGAAAGCTGCACTACTCTGCATGCACTGTGCTGGTGGAAGAAACCTAGATTTACACCACAACACGATTTTCAAGGCGACAGAAATTCAGGGAAAGGCGTAGGTGTCTGGAGGGAAATCTTCAGCCATCCCCTTTGGAAATGCACCTTTTCTATTTAACTTCCCGCAGAAATAAAATTAGATCCTACTCCTTAACGCCCAAGGTTGTATATCTCAGCTGTAAGTTAATCTTGCAAACTGGAGAGCATCCCTCTGCCAACTGCTATGACTTTGTGATTCACATCAGACCCTCAGCTTGCTCGTCATTCTTCTCTTTGCTGGCTACATCTGTCCCTTCTTCCCCAGCCAACAGCTCACCGGGGCACAAGAGCCAAGGCTCAGAGGACCAGTTATTTTTACGGCTGTACTGGGTCTGTGCTGGTGAAATCCTCGACCCTAACAGCTGGGAAGAGAAGTAGCAATTGCCATCGTCCAGCCTCGTTCTTAGACCCAACAACACGGCTCCAAATACCTCCCTGCAGCCCTAGGGTGTGCACAAGCTTTTTGACCTCAGTGCCCTGGTCTCCCTTCCTAAACACTGGGTGTTACTCCCACTCCTCCGACAATCAGAGCTTACAGAGCAGCTTCTGTGAAGTCTATACACCCCTCTGTTTGTCTGTGGTAGCTTTCTCAGGTTAAGGTTTCTGTGCATTCACACAAAGCCTTACACGTTAAGACTTTGGAGCAACTCACAAACTGGCTAATTATTCCACATCACAGAGAAACCAAGTCACATAATCTTATTCTATTCACCACTGCGTTACAGTTAGGCTGGCCTGAGTTCATTGACTTTGAGGGTCATTTTCTGCTTCTGCCAGAAGAAATTACAATCAGTCCCCTGAGGAAGGATGCGATTCCTTATAGTGATAGTATGAGCATGATGAGATAGGACCTGGGAGTCCCATCACACAGCCTTGTACTTACACCAAAACAGCAATGGCTTTCCCTCCTGGGATCTAAATAATAACATCCCTCAAAACAGCATTTCCTCACTGATGTGTAGACAGCTCATATGCTCCCCTTATTTGCCTCCAGGGAACCTTCCAAAAGCCCAAAGTGCCTCAAGATAGTCATTTAAGGACCATGCTTATGAGCCCTGCTTGTCCTAACGGAAAATGAGGGCTTGTGCTCCTACATGAAGCAGGATTACGCCTTTTGTGCACTAAGTTATAGTCAGATCATGCTACGCTTCAAGCTTAATTCAGGTAAGGTCCTTACTGAGCCCAAACAATGACGTTCCTGAAAGGCAACCCCTGCCCACTGTTTCCCTGGGGAAGGACTTGGGTTGCACAGCACATTCTAAATATTATCCAGGAATACCAGAGCAAAATAAACCAATTAAAAGGGGTGTTATTTTAATGCAAGTAATTTGGTTCCCAAGGTTTTGATCCAGTTAAATCAAGAATCACATTAACACCAGGGAGGTATTAATATTCCACTGGGAGGTTGCTGCATGTTTTGGCAGGGAGCTGGGGAGAAGGGCAGGGCTGAGCTGATGTGTATGTGTGCTCCGTGCCTGGCAGCAGCGTGAGGACAGAGCTGAGAGCATGCTGCACGGCAGGTGAGAAAAACTAATTATCTTTTCTTTTTTTTTTTCCCCCCCCTTTTGCTTGAGGATAGACAATGAAAAATTCCAGCACTAGAAGTAATGTAGGAGACCATTTGCATTATTTTAATTGCATAATTTTGGGTCAGGTCGTCTGCTGGAGTAAATCTGAGCATGCTTACTGCAGGCAATTTACTGACTGGTATCAGCTGAGGATATGATCTCCTCAGGGCACATGAAGCGAAAAGAAAAGACAAAGACACTCTTACTCCTTCTGTCCCTGTGCAGGAATCTCCCATAACACAGTGTTCCTTGCGCAGCTGGAGCGTGAGGCTTGCCTGGGGCTGGCTGGAAAGGATGCTGCTTCTCCTTTGTACCTGTCAGAGACTGCAAAGCTCTTGCCAGTACCCCCAAAGCTCCCACTTGCATTTCAAAGCCCCTCTCCTGGACTTGTTTGTATGGTAAACTCTAGTCTTAATGAATCTGGATACAGGATAATAAAAGCAAAATAGATGTGGCTACTACACACCAGCTACCTACCTACATGTTGACCTTGAAAAGCACCAGACATGCTTTACTCTTTCTAACCACTATGATGCAGAGCCTGCTCCTGCCATGCCAGAAGAGTTACGCAGAAACGAATACGGTCTTGCCAAGGTGAACACTCCAGCATCCAGATGCACAATTACCAACAGATGTATGGCTGCAGAGCCCAAGAGAGTGTGCAGTGTATTGACTATTAATCAAGTCCCGCTTTTAGGCCACAAACTGCACGTGGGTTTGAGAAACACATATTTCAGAACGCTTTACTTGCCTAAAATAATCTCCAGAAACAAGCCTAAGCCCTTTTCCTCATTTCAAAAACCCATCTGTGCAAGCAAAACACTCTTCAGATCGTCAAACAGAAGGCAAGCAAATCTCTCCCCATGCCCTTTTCTTCTCTCACGAACACCACAAAAACCTCCACAGGGCAACAGGGTGCAAAACCTGCCCCTGCTGGCAAGGAGAGAGACCCGGTCGCCACGATCAGAACACCCTGGGATGCAAGGGTGAGGCAGCTCTCCGCTGCTGTGGGACCTTCTGTGACAGGCACCAAGCACGCAGGAGGTAGAACATAAAGTGTTGGGAGCAGAAGGGCAGCTGAACACAGCACTTTCAGTGACTTACATTCAGCTTTGGCGCAGATGAGGCAGGCAGTGGTGCAGTTAAAGAAATTCAGGATCCCCGCCACGGCCACACTGATATCGGTGTTGCTGGGATGGAGGTTGAGGGTGGTGAACCGCTGGAGCTGCAGCTTCAGGAACTCCTCTGGTGCCACTTTGAAGTGTGGAACCTAAGTGGGAAAGAGGGGAAAGAAAACATATTTAAAGAGGAAAAAGAAATAAAACCAAACAAATCTACTGTAAAGGACCTGTGGTGTGAAATGCACAGCAGAAAGTGAAATACCCCAATAAAACTGCAGAAGCGTCACAGGAACGAAGAGAGGAGGGTGGGATTTGTGCTGTAACAGAGGAAGATAATTATTGCAGCAACAAGAAGCCACGGGAAGGAGTGGATCAGGAAAAGTCTTGCTGAGCCACTCGGAGAAAGGCAATGGGAGCTGTGATTACAGCACAGGAAACCATTCCGGATGAGTTCAACCTAATTAGCTGGGGCACTAATTGTGTAGCCGGGCCCACACCCCATCTCGGGCTTGCTGCCTGGGTAAATGTGGAGGATGCTTGGCAGGCAGGGAGTTACACAGCCCATGCTGGAGACCTGCAGACCTTTGCTGTGTGCTAGATGGATGAAGTGCTGCAAATCCACCTCTGCCTGCTGCACCGATTTGTTGTCAGGTAATTAGGAGAGATGAAGGGAAGAACAAGATGACCCGGAGCTGGCAAGGCTCAGGAGAGAGAGGAACAGATGCAGCAGCCAGAAGCTTTGGGGTTTTTTGATCAGCAGAGAGGTAACAGGTGGCCATACGGCGGGCAAGCTCCAACGGGACCATAACCACAAGTCCTGATAATGCTGCACTTGTCATTAATGCAGCAGAGGAGGAGTGGGATGCTGTTTCCCAGGGAATTCGGGGAAGGGGGAGCAGGGACGGCCCAAGGGCTCCCTCCCAGGCAGCTCTGCCACACACCTCCCCATTTGGTGTAGAGGGAACAGGTGGGCAGAGAGATCAAGCTCAAACACCAAGCGTTCAGCCAAATACGGAGAAGGAATATTGTTTTCCTTTTGCTGAGTGAATTATTTGGAAGAAAGAGAAGACAGAGAAAGGTAAACAACTGCTTCAGCTTCATTAGTGGAGTGTCAAGTCCTTTTTTCCTCCATTATTAGTCCTTCCGGAAGCTATCGCCCCATGCCTCCCATCTCTCTCCTCTTGGGAAAGGCTATTAGTAGATTGTGATGGCTGTTCTGCTGACAGCATAAGCTGTTTGGCTAGCAATAGGAAAATTAAAGCGTAATAAGCTGCTAGTGCCTTGATTTCACTCTGCAACCCTCATCCCCGGCTCTGTTAACAGTGAGAGAAGCTGACTGTAAGCAAAAGGCAAATTCCTTTAACCAGAGTCGACAGGGCAACTCCAGTACAAGCATGCTGATCGCTGTCGGGAGCCAGAGGAGGCCTGAGACTTGCAGCAAGAAGGGCTCCAGAGAAGAGAGAGACACAGACAGAAATGGAGGCAGCCACCACCACAGCAGCTTCTGCAAGTGAACATCAGACCAGTCACTATTTCGTGCCTCAGTGGTAAAACGGGGACACTTTCGTTTTCCTGACGGATGGCCATATGTACAATGGCTCTGGCTGGGTTTCTCTATCACCTCTAATGCAGCAGCACCAGCTGATGCTACCATGATATAAATGACAGGGAGTTACTGCAGATTTACATCACTAGGAGGGCAGCCGAGATCAAGCCTGAGAATCAAATACCTTAGAAGTGCTCTAGCACGCATCTTTCATTTCGGAAAAAAAGTAAAAAATTGAAGAGACTTAGATCAGAGACTCAGACTGAATGTGAATTTCAGGGGAAAAACACTTGCAATCTGTTACTGCAGAGTTGCCTTTGCCTGGAATGGAGCACATGTCTGGGACATTTAACTGGAGAAAGCACTACAAAACACTCTTAAGAGACCCATCCTGCTGCAGCCCAAAGCACTACGTCTAAAAGATCTCTTCAACACATCTGATTCTCGAGGAACAAAGAACAGCAGTCGTTTGTGAATGCAAGTTATTTACAGTGCTTACTTCCAGGCACTCCCCTCCGTGGAGGCCAGGCTCCAGGGAGAGACCACTAAATGGCTGAGAGATGTTATCTGGCTTTAAAGGGATGAACTTTGAGAAGAGAACTCAATTTCTTCTCCCCAGAGCAGAGCCACATCAGTGTAAGATGGCTCAAGGCTTATTAAATCAGGCACATAGTCTGGACACAGATAAAAAGGGTTTGCATTGATGGAACAACAGCAGACAGAAAACGGGTGCAGCTTTCCAAGTATGCACACAAAGTCGCATCAGACCTGGGAACTTTGGCTGGGATGGGCATCCGCCAGGGCACGCTGTGGGTTTTGCAGCCCTCGGTCAGTGGGGACACGGTTTGCATTGGTGTTGCGTGATGACTGAGAAACAGAGCAGCAGACTTGAACAAGAACTGGAAGAGGCAGACCCAAGCGAGGCAGAGCTGGGAGCCGCAGCGAGCTGTGGGGCTTGGCACAGACCTGAGAGTCTCGGACAAAACCCTTTGAGTCTGCAGAAAGCCCTTCTGGACAGCACCTGCACAGGAGGCATTGCTGCTCAATTGAAAACCTGATCCAGGCTTAGTAAATCACCAGCAAAACACTGTGTTTCCAGGGAGGGCTGGCACCAGCCTGGGAAGCACTGCTGCACCCAGGGCATCTTTGGTTTGAAGGGCAGCAGGTGGGGCTGGTCAGGATCTCTGCAGTGTCCCTTGCCCGTGGCCACGACACTTGGGGAGGAAGGAGCCAGGGCTCCTTGCCAGCCTGGGGCAGCTGCCAGGTGCGAGGGCGTGGGGGCCAGGTCAGACGGCGCAAGGGCAGCAAAGACTTACTCCAGCACTTTTCCACTTACCTCTTTCTCCCCACAGATATTGCTGATAATAGAGCTCGAGGCTGGGCTTGAGGAAGGTCCCAGGACGCCTACCACCCCTTTGGGGAGAATCTGGCACACTGCAGGCACCAGAGAGAGGAAACAGGCGTTAGACTTTGTCCTCAATTTCCAGCTGACAGTCATGCTTACAAATACCTGCTGCATTTCACCAAGGACACAGTATCATCTCTTTCACACAACACACTCTCTGTCATTTATGCCCCCCAAATCCCTCTACTCCCTCTGAAGCACTGTCACCCTGTGACACTCTCCGTCTTTCCCCAGTCTTACTAAATCCCACCTGAACTCCCCCCAACGCCCCAGTATTGTGATCTCTGACTCAGAGCTCACGTATCTCTCTTATAATGTCCCTTTTTGGTCCCATCTGCTCTTATCCAAGATAAAACATTAACAAAAGTTTACAGAAGATGCTAAACACAGCAATGCTCTAGCTTCAAAGCATCATCTATCAGCAAACACACTTATCTGAATTTCTTCCCCAACCTCTGCAGAGCTCAGTGCTAATAAGGATTGTATTACTGTTTCTCATTTGTTGTTTTTTTCTGGCAGTACTTAATCTTCTGGATCCATGCTACCAAGGTTAGCGGAACAATAAAAAGACCCTGACAAAATGAAGAAGTTAAATCCCGTCCCTCAAGCTTCCTGGGTTAAACCACAACCTTTTGTCCTTTTAATTCGCGGCACAAATTTAGCCGAATGGCACTCCAAGGACTGCCCCAGCTGGCGTCCCCTCCCCGCTGCCACCCCAATCAACCACGTCGCTCAGAAGCGCTCCTCCAGAGCAGCTTGTTCAGGCAAAACCTCGCGAACAGAAGGCGAGAGGCCCTCACGTCTGAATCCCCGGATTCCGAAAGGCTTGTCTGAACATAAGCCACGGCTTACTCTGAAATACCAGACCTGCCTCAGCGCTGCCACGCACTCGGCTCCTTTCTCCCCAGACAGACAAAGCCGCATTTGCTCAACTGGCGTCAAGCGACTGCTTTCTGAAGAAAGATGATACTACAGGGGAGAAAGGAGGCACGGAAACTGCTTATCAGCTCTGGCAAGAGCAAGCTCACAACGTTTTCGTGTGTAAAACCCAAACCACTGTATCACAAAGCTAAGATATTAGAGATAGTGCCTCTTCAGTATCAAATGGCTGGTGTGTTTCAGAGCACCATCCTCACCGCTGGTCCCTGGCTTACATGTCAGACGAGCTTTTGTGATGGTTGTAAGAAGCTATCCAGATTCAGCATCTGGAAAAAGGAGCTAGAAAAATACAAAACAGAATATATTTTTTGTTGTTGTGAAGGGAATTCGTCACCAAAACTGTCCTGCTACAGATCAGAGCAGGTTTTCCATTAACTTCAAGTCTTTAAATCAAGACTGGACATGAAATGAGAGCCTATCCTGTGCTTGGAGTTCTTTTAGAGCAGCCAGCTATGGGGCTGAGGGCAGTGTTCAGAAACTGAACGTCTACAGCCTGTTTTCTGCAGAAGATCAGATCAGTTAATGAAGTTGGTCATCTCTGGCCTTAGACTTCTTAAGTCCCCACAGACTCATGACTGGAATACGAGGTCAAAAGCTGAGATGAAGTTTGTCACTTTGGGGAATTGGCTTTCCCTCTCTGCAAGAGCTACTTGAAGGAAAAACTCTATATAATACTAGGTTCCTATACACAGTGATCGCTCTGACTTCTTACAGAAAGTGCTGATGATATGCAAACACCTCCTCTTGGGTTTTCCTTTCTTCCATGCTCTCTCACCCTCCACCATCTCAATCTGCTACAGAACGAGTGATATTTTTCTGCGGCATCTTCAAAGGAATCCACTACTTGCTTTTCTTCTATGCTTAAAAATTTACAGGCACTTACACCTCTTCAGAATATCCTTTCAAATAAAAGCATCAGCAATTTGAAAACCCCTGCTATGTCGGCGGCACTCATCAGTCCTTCTCAGCTGCAGTAGATCCTTGGGGTGCCCTGCAGTTCAGCATCTAGGGGTAAGTTGCTGCTCCAAGTCCTCTTTATCCATGGGGCAAAAGTCCTGGGGGGAATTTTGTTGTGTAGGCATGGGACAGTCTGATGAGCACTTTTCTTCTTATCTCTGGTGTTGAGAACAGAAAGTGGGTTAAGTAGTCATAGCAACAGTATTGCCACAACTGTCAGAAGAAAAAGACCTGACATCACTCCAAGGGTGAAATTAAGGAAAGTGAATGGAAACCAAGTGGAGATGCCTGATGCAAAGGTTTCCGTCATGTTTGGTAAACTTCTTCCCTCATAATGCAAAGGTATTTCCTATTGCAGAACATTAGCTGATGCTGTTAGTCTCTACAGGGACAAAAGGCTCAACCCTGCTACCGCTGTGTGTGCTGCAGATTGAGGATGCAGTCAAGGACTTGCAAGGATGAGGAGATGTCGACCCTGTACCAGCAATCCATCCCTGATAACTGCATGGACTGCAAGCAGAGGTGCTGCTGTAACCCCTGCACCTCGGGTTTCTTCACACTTGAGCACAAAGGTACAATGGAGGCAATGTACTGTGCAGGACACCTCCTACTTCTCCGTGGACCTCTCTGCCTCTGCTGCTTGCTTATTTCTGGATGTGAGAAATCACAACAACAAATCAGTAGCTCTCACATTATATATGTATGGATATCTACTCAGTGACGGTGAGGTAGTGTTTGCATCCCCTGGGATCTCAGGGCACTTGGCAAGATGTACTTGAACTCTCCCTGCTCAAAGTGCAGCTGAAAGCGCCCAGGCGAGAGCATCTGCCCACAGTGCAGAACACAGGTTCTCCTTCGCTGCACGCAGATACCTGATACAAGGGTTTCAAATAGCAGGCTAAGAAGATTCCTGCCACTAATTGAAAATAAATGAGTAGGGAAGGTATGCAATTACCTTATACGAGGATCTTGAATGACAGGGACTGGTCAGGACAGGATTCCCATGCAGAAAACACCAAGTGCACAGACAGAGGTGACACAGGGAGCACACCTGCCCCACGGCTCCAAGACTGGAGCAGCCCTTGGACTTCTTAACGGGAAATCGCCAACACAGCGGGCTCAAACGTGGAATCCAACAAGATCACAAAAATGGTGGGTCCATTACTAGCACGTTTGAGCCAATGTCACTGAAAGGATGCATCAGGCACTTTGAAATACTGGTGTGAATAAACAAAAATTAAAAATTCTGCAGTCGCTCATTCACTGCTGACCTACGCTAAGATGTCTGGATTCACAACAGAAAGATGCTTAGAAGACTGATGACACAACAGGGGACAGGGTGACAAGTAGAAAATCTGTCCCTCCCTGGACATCAAAACGAATAAGGTGTTTTAGATGAAGACATGATTAAACAAGTCATTTTGGATCTCCATAAAAGTAGTCAAAACATCAAAGACAAAGAGAGAACAAGCTTTACTTATAATAGCAAGCAAAGCTCTATCCATAGCCTTTCACTGCAAACTCATTTCAAAACACAGGACTTTTCAGATGTAGCATACAGGAACAGTTGTCTTCATTCATATATAAAGCTGAAATAGCAAACTAGGCATAACTGTGATTAAGATTGACTCATATTTTACCTGCTACATCAATTGCGATTTTGTGGACCCCTAACAGTTAGATGCCTGAGTCAGTCAGGAGGAAAAAAAGAAAGAAAACCAGCTCAATGCTAAACTAAAAACTAACTCTCAAGAAGTCTTTCTTCTCTTGAAGCTCTAATTGTACGTGGAATATCACTGATGGGGTGTAATCACAGCATTCCTAGATCAGTCAGCTAAGCATGCTAGCTGCGATATTCAAGGGTGATTCAAAGGGTGTGAAATTTGAGAACAGTATTAAACAGATGTATAACAGCTTTGCAGTCATAGGTTAAAACATCTAAACTACTTTTATTAACATTATGTGTGATAACAAATATCAGTGCTGTATTAAAGCTGAGAAGTCAGACATTCAAAAGCCATGAAAGCCTTGAAATTTAAGTTGAAGGATCTGATTCTCCTCTGCTACCAGTATAAATCAAGAATAACTTCAGTGACATTAATAGCAGAGCCACGCAGAATCCAGATTTTTCCTTTTGTAAGAAATGCTTCAAGACATTTTTCACTCCCAAGAAAAGGCAAATAACATATTGCAAAACTATGTGAATAATCACTTCATCAAAATCAAATCAGTTTGCTCAGATTTCTATTTTACATTCTACAAGTCAAAATAAAGAAGACAAAATCACCCCAAGGTGAAAATTCAGACGTGAAGATTGCCTCCTTCCTCACTTATCCCATGTTTGCTGAAATAAACAATTTCTTGCATAATATTTGATTCTCAGCAAATTAGTATTCTTCTGCTTGAAAATGTGCCAGCAGAATAATTTCCGAGCAATGCTAAAGGTATGCAAGTGGGAAAGCAATCCCGCTGCAGCTCAGGGGTCACTTGGCCATCAAGGCTGTTTCCCAAGCAGAGGTAAAGTAACAGAAACCCTGCCTCATGCAGAAGATTTATGAGAAACAAAAAAGAACGGAAGTCAAAATGCTGCTGGTTCTTTCAAAGACACAGAAGCCTCAGGCAAATAAGCAATTTTCTCATTTCCTAGGAGGCTTGCTGGGAGATTTGGGATACTTCTGGGGGCAATCTCGGAAGGGACTGGGAAACGGAGGCATTCCCCATCCCTTCTGCACGGCCTGGCTACTGAGACTGGATTTGCCCTCCTGCTGTGCCAAATGAGGGTAAAGTAGGATGCACATGATCCCGAACAGATGAGAAAGACCAAGAAAAAAGTTAAAAGAGATGAGGGATCCAAAAAGGTGGAGAACTGCTGTTTCAAACAGTCCCTGCGATGCTGCATGTGACGATCTTAATCTAGACTGCCTCATGGGTGACAGGCGCTATTTATAGACGTACAGGTACTTGCTGAAATGCACTTTATTAACTGAACGTTTCTATAAATAATGCAAATGCTAATTCAGGAAATGAAGGAGCAATCTGCTGATCTCGCAGGCCTATCGAGCCTGTTCTGCCAGTAACCCAGAGACCTGCTGCACTGGGTGTACGGCTCCACGGGGCCTCCCAGGCACAGGGATGCTCGGCGCTACGCAGAACAAGCACCAAAGCTCAAACCACAACATACTACCACACCTTCTGGAGATACCTTGCAGGTTACACAGGCTTGGAACAGACAGCCGTCGGGAAACGAGTCTAATATCCCTATTATTTAAAATTATTTCTTCAGCTTTTTCAAGCAAACTTGCAATGAAAAATTATCGTCCTCCCTTGAACTCTAAAGGTCATCTTAAAAATTATTCTAAAGAGAAACTATCCTATTCCAAAGGATTTTCTCTCTTACAGGAAGAAGCTATTACAGATCTTTCATTTCTCTGACTGGGTCTCCTGAGAGGTCTGTGGGATACTGAGCATCAATTTCTTTTTCATCCATCAGCATGGAGCTGACGTGTTGGGCACCTAGAGGAACAACTACAGCAGAGACCTGTTTGCATTAAGGGACTTGAAAGCAACATGGGAAGGATGCCGCTCTTACAAAATGAGCTCTTTTTAATCCACATCATTTTAAACATCACTTGAAAACTTCACTTTGTGTACACAGATCCACTGCCAATCTAAAGCACTGGAAGAGCTGTCATGTTTGCTGACACGCAGCATTCCATGGAGTTTTAAAAATAACTTAATTGCACTGAACTTGCCCAGAGTCTCTTATTTGCACACCATTAAGTACTTCACAAAGGAGCATCACTTCCTGTATCATTACCTCTGTTTATTGACACACAGATTAAAGAAAATCCCAAGCCGCTGAGCTGAACGGCGCTGCGGAACATCCCGTGCACCTCCCGAGGGGAATCTGAGCCCACATCCAGACCTCACCAAACCCCTGCTCTGGACCCGACCATGCTCGGGCAGCTGGGGCGGGCCTGAAGCTTTGCAGAGACCCACCTTCGTGCTAGCACACGGTATTTCAAGTGCTGAGAGAGGAGCAGAGTGATGGCCTTGACATTCTGTGTACCCCCTGGAGCATCACACAATTATCCTGCGCAGCAAGTGCAAGCATGCCAGACACCTCCTGCGAGTCCGCACAGAGAAGAACTGAGGACGGAGCAGCTACACGGAGGGTACTTACTGGTTTCTGCTGTCTCATACTCGCTGTCTCGCAGCAGCTCAAAAATGTCCACCTCCACTTTGGCTTTGCCCACCCGCTCGGGCGCGCGGTTGATGCGGTTCTTTGCTAGGGTAATGGAGAGCCTCTCCCCTCTGCTGCACTCCATGGGGTCATCCAGGATGGCAGCTGTGGGAGCAAAGGGGTTGGCAGCAGTTAGGCTTGGCAGGGACCCGGGCTCGGCTCCGCACACCCACCAGTCCCCGGCAGCCTTTTACCACGCGCGCAGCCGCCGCGTTGGCACTTGTGCTCCTGCCGTCGCTATTGTTAGCGCATCCTTCCTCCCTTCCTCCCACACGCGGCCTTTCCCGCCGCTTCGCCCACCTCCTGGGTCTTGCCAGACACGTGGGAGGCAAAAATCTCGGCGGCCACCC